GGGCGGCGGCGGGGGGAGCGATGCTCGGCGGCCTTACAGCGCGCCGGGCTCCGCTCCGCCGGGGACGGGTCGGACTGTCGCTTTCCCAGGCACTGCAGTGCCTTACATAATTTCGTCCTGCAGCCGAAATGTAAGGGTTGGATTTCTGTGAAATAAGGAGAGACCACGGGCACGTTCTGCAGTACAGCTTGGTTTCTTGCTATGCTTTTCATACGTTTTTTATAATCTTGTGGAGTAGAAGTTACAAAGGAAACTGAAACAGTTTCAAAGTTTGAAGAGAGATTATTCAAACTCCAGCTGTCCTAAGGTTTTGCTTCTCTAACGATCTTCCTTTCTGATAGAGGATTAATCCTCCTATCTAGGAGAAATAAGATGAGGCAAAACTACATGTTTCCTTATGTCAAGGTGAATCTAAATCAAGCAGATTCCCCAGGACCAAAATGGGTCGTGAAACAAATGTCCGTGCAGAGGTAAGCAGATAGCTACAGGTAGCAGGAGAATAGCATGTGTGAGAGAAGTTGTGGGACGTTTCTAGCATAGCTTTTCATGATAGCCTTGCCTAAATTTGCCTGGACTTTAAGTATGTAGAGAAGGACAGAATGAACATATGCATTTCATTTGGTTCACAGAAAATATCTTGGCAGAAACACATGCTTGTGCAGTGTATTTTGTTAGAATCTGGCTTTTTAAATGTATACAACCTGTCTAATGAAAAGCTGATAGTGTCTCCCATTTAACTAGTAATATGTTCAAATATAGCTCGAGATACACTGCTAACCAGTTTAAGAAAAAACATATGGCTTAATACAAAACTTGTTTAAGTACAGTCACTGGGGATATCAAGGTGCTTATAAACTTTAAATTAGAGTATTATGAGGGACCATTACCTGATAGCCATCATGATTGAAACAGCATTAGATCACCTCTTTTTTTGAAGGAAGTCTGTAGATAATTTTGAACATCAGCTGCTGTGGGATTCAGTTATTGCTTCTACAAGCGTTGCCTGAGATGTTTATTGGTACAAGAGAATTCCCAATGTATATACTTTATGCTTCTCTTTCCAATGATAATATAAAGCCTTGCCCCGGGGAAGTCTGAATAAAACACAACAGTGACTAAGCACCATTTGCAGGGCAGTCTCTTTTATTTTTTTAATATTTTGAAAGCATTGGATACAGAAGAGCTGTTCCAAAGGAGCTGTTTTAATAAGTGCCAAAGAGCATCTGTGTGCAGTGCGTACTCTTAGGAGGTACCGTGGAGGACTGGCAAGTGTTCCTGGCCATACTGTGTATATACATTGGACTTCAGAATATAAGCAAGCACGTAAATTGGCAGGGAGGAGAGACCTGTCAATTTAGGGAAGTAACTTCAGGCTCCTGTGTTTACTTCCTATCTGCAGATGGCTTCCTCTGTGGGTCTGGGCAGTTTGCTGGTGTTCCTTGCCTGATCTGACCCACTTGTGCAATGGATCTACTATAACTTACCTATTGTAAAAAGTACCTGGAGGTTTAATTAATTAGCATTTCTAATGAATTAGTATCTCTCAGGTAGTTTGCATTTCTCAAAGGAGAGATACTCTAAGGCAAACTTCAGCTTTGCCTCTCCATTCCACAGTTATTCCTGGTCCAAAGTAAAATCTTGACTTATCTCCCTGATGATGTCTCCTCGAGGATGTCTAGCTGTCCACTGAAGTTCCATGCAACTAAACCAGAGTCTTTCATGGAATCATAGAACCACAGAATGCTTTGGGTTGGAAGGGACCTTCCTGGTAATCTAGTCCAACCCACCCTGCAATGAGAAGGGACATCTTCAACTAGATCAGGTTGCTCAGAGCCATGCCCATCCTCTTCCCCTACGCCTTTGTCATTACCTTTCTTAATACATATAGACAACACCAGCTTCTTGCCCATCCCCAGGCCTATATCATGACATCTTTTACCAAGTTATTTTTCCAGGTTCTCACATGCAATTATATCTAAATCCTGCAGGTTTTTTCCAAACTAGATGGCTAAGTTTTGGCCACTTTTCTTTAATTGGCCAAATTCCTTCTTCCCTCTCTGTCTACCTGCCTGACTACCTGCCAGTTTTTCTAGAGTTACTTGAAGGTTGCACCAGTATGTCATACCTCGGTGTATCCTCAAGGAGTTTTGAGTTGAATGGAGAATACATAAGTGCCATTTTCAGTGTTTGTTTCACTTGCTGAAATGCAGTCCAGCATTGAGCCTTTCACAGGAGAAATATTGGGAGGTCTGCATATTATAAAGCTGATGACAGGAAAGAGTTGCTCCTGTGTCTTCTATTCAACAGAGCAGTAGTTTAAGCACAGAGCAGACATATCATTCTAGCTGTTCTACTCTATTTTACTTTCTGAGGAGATGGTTCATATTCCAGATGCAAGACTTAACCACTGTGTTGTGGAGGACAGGTATGAGGAAGAAGGTTCCCTTCATCTCCATCATAAGCATAATTTTATCTTACAAATATTACTTCAGTACCAGCGTAATTTCTTGGGATGTAGCCAAGGGAAGACTTTTCTCATCAGCTTTCCAAGCAATGATGAAATCCATCATTCATTATAAGTACTTGAAAAGTAAATGCAACATTTTAATTTGTACAAACCCCACTGTTTTGGTTCACATTTTGGCCAACGAAAAAATTAATCACAACTAACATTGAAACAATTTTGGTCTCCTTTGCCATTTAACTGCCACACTGAAATGCTGGATATTTGTGCAATACAGCATCTCCGACCTTGTCACCCACTGGGAACAGCTGTGCCACTGGTATGGTCACTGAGCCTTTTTAAATCTGAGCTGGATTTGGCCCTCAGTCACTCACCCTCAATGGCTCGACTCCAACCAGTGGCCTAATAAAGGACACCTACAAAGCTCTTTTGATACGAGTAGCCTGACATGATGAGATAAATACTAATGGACAGTAATTCAATGAGATATCCCATGGATTTGGTTTCTTACACATTTGTTTTTGCAGATTTTTCCTCATGTGCATGTGAATTTTCTAATTGTTTTGAACCTATAGGAATATCAGCATTGGACCTGATAGCTTTACATTCTCACCTCAGATCCAGTTTTGCTCTACTGTAACATTTGGTTTCCTAAGAGCTGGTGTTCCCAGTCCCCTGGCTGCCCTGACACCGAAGTGCTGGTTATCTGCAGAGCCACACTAATGGTAACAAGGAGGGGCTTCTACCTTCTGTGTTAGTGTCCTGTTTACACTGATTGCAGGAGCAATCCAAACCTATCATGTTACACTGGCAAAGCAGGTTATAGTAACAGAAAGTGTCAGGGATTTGTAAGTCCACTGCACTTCCAGGAAGCCATGAGGCTGGTATTATTAGCCAGAACTTCCTTACCTCTCTCACAGAAGAGAAAGATAAGGACTTCTTCTGTGATGTTGCTCCCTAAAAGAAGCCTCTGAGAAAGAGGAACTACTTGAGACCTTGGCACTGAGGTCAACCCTTGCACATCTGACCTCCCAGGAAACATAATCATAAAGAGCAGTCAAAGCTCTAATCAAAATGAAACGCAATGCAAAAGGTATTAGCAGGACAGGCAAATGACAGTGAAGGTACCTGAGCTGCTCGATATAGCCCCAGAGCCTGCTCTGGAAACCAGAGCCCCAGTGTGGTAGGAGGCAGCCAGGACCCCATGTCCTGGTGGGGTAGTGTCCATGCTGGAGCTTAAGTTATGGGATAGCATTTTTAGGCTGACACCGTGGCAATTCTCCACTCTTTTGGAGAGGGTCTCACTGTCAAGTGTCCTCAAGGGTAGGACAAACCCTAAGATAAAAGATAATGTAAAAAAAAGAAGACTAATATTTCTTATTAACCTGCTTTGTCAGGGAAGATGATATCTCCACAGGTCCCTTCCAACCCCTACCATTCTGTGATTCTTACAGGGGATCAAAATTTTAATAGCACTTTTTTCCCCATGAATGTAATTCTTTTACTCTCTTTTTTCATTTTCTTCATGCAATAGAATAGTAAAAAATCCCACTGAGTTCTGCTTATCTGTAGGTGCTGACAATGATCTGTACAAAGCTCTCTTGCTTTCAGTGGCTTTTGTTTCAAATAGTGGGAGCTGGTAACTTCAGTTGGTGCTTTGCATCCACAAGTCCCATGTCCACTGTATCCCTCTGCAGACGCCTTCAAGGGCACCAGTCCTGGCAATCTGTCAAGAACACTTCTTAAAATGACTCCAGTGAGCTACACAGATAGTATGGGCAGGTGCAGTGATATTCTCCAAAAGGGGAAACCTTATCTCTATAAGGCTGCTGGTTTGGGGATCTGTGTGAAGGGCTGGGTTTTTTTAACATAGCAAGCTATATTTATCCAGAACCTTTTTTTTTTTTTCCCCATAGCTTCTAATTAACAAAACAAAACGACCCACTCCATTTTGTTCAGAGCCTCATGCAGTGAGTCAGGACTCTGCAGTCCTGGCACACAGCCCCCTGTGCATTACTCAGCAGTGTAATGGAGCTGGCTGTTTGGAGGAGCCCAGCCTTGCGTGCCTGGCTTCTCCCCATAGCTGAGTAAGAAAGATGCCCATGTCACCTGGGTCTCCTCAGGCACCCAAGGCTCTCCAGCCAGCTCAGATAATCACTCCATTTACAGCAAAACTTTCTGGTAAGTGTGTTCTTTGGGTCTGATGGAATTCAACCCCAAAAGGGCAGTATGTAAAGGATTAATGTAAATTCCAGATTCCACTTTTCTGGTATTACCAAAAATAAAGCTGTTGCATTATTTCTCTTAACATAGTTAAAAATTAGATGTAAGAAAAATAAACAGAAACTTTATGCTCTGATTTGATTTTTTTTCCCCACTTCCATTTTGGTAAGACAAAACTAATTTGCTATGCTATCTGCTATATATCCTGCTGCTGAACTAATCCTTTCTGTGCCCTAGATTTTTATTAGCCTTGCTTGCTTACTACTGAAAGATTTACTTTCTAGGACCCCTTTTAATTCCCTTTGCTACTACACCACCTTTTCTCTTGAATATGATTTTTCTGTAATGTCCTTTAAAGATTCTTGACCTTTTCTAACCTGGGACATATTTATAGTAGTCTGATCTACTTTTCTTAATCATTAGTGATCTTCCCAGCAGGATACTTTTGTCTTTTTCCTAATGTGATTCAAGATACATTTGAATTTAAAGTGCCCTTATGCTTGAACCATTATGCTGGGATTTATTGTACTAAACCAAACTCCAGTAGATTTTTCTGAGGCTTCTCGTTGTCATTTTGCTCATCACTCCTGAGGTATCTACTGTCAAAGTCCTTGCATGCTAGTAATAAAACCTTAACATTCTTGATGTAACTATGCTTTAATTTTCATTCAGCCAGATCTTCCATTTTAATTCCTTAAGTATTCAGATTTCTTTTGAGATAGATTGAAGAAAGGGGCTCTTGTTCTGCACAGACAATAAAATACCAGAAATAAATGTGGAAATAGGCACGAACATCAGGCCATTAGTGGTGGCTGTGTGGGTATGCCCACCGTGCCTACAATGGTGTAAGTACAGTAATCTGCTCTGCAAATTTGACTGTGTGAGGAGTGTGTTACTATGTTTAGAGGTGGTTAAATGCAGGCATACATAGATTAGTGTTTTAACAGAATTAACAAAAGCGTCTTGTGCATGCAGTCCAGCCATAAATGGTACACAGATTGAACACAACATGGTAGAAAAATACAAATGTCTTTGGAGACACACAGGAGTAAATATTCTGTGCTGTTCTGTACACCTGAGTGTATGCACATATATTCAGAGATACAGGGTATGTGTAGCCAGTGAGTTGTGGCTCTTAAGCTTGATTTAAAAACTGAATGAGTTTGTTATAATTCCTCCACCCCTCCACCCAAAAAAACATAAGATCTGAGGAATCAATCTAATCTGCCTTACTAAATGAACATGTGAAAGTGCTAATCTGGGATAAACTTGGGGACTGTACATATTTCTCTCTTTCTTTCCTTAAACAGAATGAAAATGCCCTTGTGAAAATAAAGGAGTTAGGAGTCGAGCTTGCAAAGATCAGGGATGAATTTGGTAAGTAGTACAAGCTAAGTAACACCAAAGTGATTTTCTCAGTTTACACAGCAGCAGTTATTCCCTGTGCCCTGGTCCTGAAGAACCTGCACATGTAACTATGTACCAGCCCTGCCATGGAGAACGCACAGCGCGATGAGAAGTGGGAACTGGGGGCTGTTGTGAGGGAAGGTGACTGGGAATGCATCCTTTACTTATGTACGTGTGGATGTTTTGTAGTTCAGCTACAAACTGAAGGACACCAGGCTCAGAACTTGCTTATTAGTATCTCTGAGTTTTCTTCCTGGTTGGAAGACAGCAAAAGCAACACGTCCCATTCAGTCTGTGCATTCCCCGTATATCTGCGTGCACCACTTTTCCTGTTTGGTTTCTCCTCTAGACAGGAGAGATGGGGAAGGTGTAAAAATGTAAATTTCTAGTGGTTAGGGAAATGTTGGAATGAAGGTTGGACTTGATGGTCCCAGAGGTCCAACCATAGTGATTCTATGATTCTATAAAGACATTGCAACTCCTGAGAGGGAAGATGGGCTTTTGTGCTGGCTTCAGCCAACAGGTTGAGTACTTTGGGGCTTAAATCTCCCAAGAATGGGTATTCATTTACCACAGGACAAATTAAGAGGAGGAAGGGCACCTGGAGGGAGGACCACTGGGGCAGGGAACACCCTGAGTACCAAAAGAGTATTGGAACCATTGATGACTAGAGCTGTGAACAGAGGGGACCTCTCAGCTTTCCCCACATGTGGGAGTCCAGTTGCTGGGTCACACATTAAGCACAGATTGTGCTGTGTGGTAGGACAATGACTTGGTTTGCAAAGGGGAGCTCAGGCCATACCCCTGTGAGTTGTCCAGAACTCCAGATCCTCCCTGTGCTCTGTTTTCACCTTGCCTATGACAACCCCCTGCAGGAAAGCTGAGCACAGCCCTTCTATGGTGCCCAGCCACTTGTGTTCCCTGCTGTGCCCCTCTGAAATTTTTTGGCTAGTGGTCATTTCATAGAGAGCTTTATTGTCCACACAGTGGACACAAGGATACTGCAGCAACAGCAAAACAGCGTTTCCAGTTATTGCCTGATGTCTGCTTTTGTCCATCTTTTGCACCTCCACGGCTCTCACAGAGTTGTTGCTATTGGTGCATTCTTTAGGCAGGGCACATCTGAAGCTCTCTGTTGAATACCCACTTCCCATTTGCAAGCCCTACCTCTTTCTAGCAGTTTGGTTTTGCTCCTGTGGCAAGTGGCAGTGATGTGGGAAGGAAAGAAAGGTACAGTACTGGAGATAACGAGCTCTATTTCCATGTACACCATGTTTGTACAGCTGCAGTGAACACAAAGCACTGGATTTTGCTGGAGAGCTCAGCCAGGGATATAACTGGCTGCCATTTGGGGGTCACAGAGCTGCATATTCCATGACAGGAGATCACTGCTCTGCCTGCCCTTGCCATTGCTCCTGTGTATGCAGCAATAGATACCACCTCTGCACAAAACTGAGTCCTGATGAAATACATGGAGACAGTTCTGTTAAGAACCCCAAATACTCCAGAAAAGCAGTCTGAAGTCTCAGCTGAGCTGCACTGCTTCAGAAGGGAGGTTAGCCATAGACATCTAAGTGCTCTCTTTCTCAAAGAGGGGAAAGATGGCATGAGATAGTCCTTTCCTCCATGGTCCTGTGGACAGGTGTACTGGAGAGGAGCCACCACAAGTTACTTCTTTCTGAGAAAGCCACCACTGGGACATGCTGAGATGTTGAGTGGAGGCTGGTTAGGAGCAACAGGGCCAGCTGATGATTTGTCGTGCTTGTTAGAGGTAATCCTCTCCATACAGTCCTGCAATGCAAAAAGAAGGGCTTCCAGTAGGGGTGGACAGCAAGATGAACGTGTACAGGTATTGCACTCCAGCAGGATGTAAGGGAGCTCATCAGCAGTACAAATACTGCTATGCATCCACACATACGGAAGGTGAATATTTCTGTTTTGCAGTATAAATCAAAAATTGCTTTTCCTTTGGAAGAAAATTAGAAAATTAAACAACCAGTGTTTGAAATCTGTGGAGAAAGTGAAATGGCAAATGCCACGTGCATGAGAGCAGATCTCATCCATGCAGTTCTTTGCTGACCCTACAGCAGTGCAAGCTGGGGCTGGGGTTGCCACTGGAGACATGCAGCTCACCTGCACTACAGGAAGGTTATTTTGGTCTCACCATTAGATGAATCTGTATGTTGTACAATATTGTACATATTTTGCCAAGCTTTATGCAAAAAGAATGAGGCAATGATTTGATAACAGCAATCATAGGTGATTCTATGAAGAAATTTAGGGAAAATCATGTTATTTTGACTATAGCTAGGTTGTAGTTCTGGCTTGTCTCAGTCACTTAGATAAATCATCTTTCATTAACTTAAAAATAACCAGTCCAGTTAAACAGCATGGGTGTTGGTCAGAAATTCCTGATTTCTCATGTGTAAATTCACCGCATCGGACTCACTGATGCAAACGCCTGAATGAATCAGTAAAACAAGGCTGGGCTGGCTTGGCTGATACAGGCAGCGTGTCCAGCATTTAGTTATTGAGGCAATAGCTCTAATTCAGAATTATGGTTTAAGTGCTGACTGTGCTTGGTTTTGTAAGCAGATAGTTGTTAACTTCACCAGAAACTTCACGATTCTGCTACACAAAGCGATGGGACTGTGAGATGTAATCCACTGGTCAGAAAAGTCAGAATGTATTTTTAAGGAAACCTCTTTTGGTAAATAAAACCACTACTGAAGCAATAGCAACAATGAAGCATGTGTAAAACAGCCCAGGGAGACCTGCACCCTTCTGGAGCCAGGCAAAATATTTAGGTTCAGATAACCCTGTCCACTTTTACCCTCAGCACTGCTGTGAAGTATCATGCCTCGTCTGAAACCAGCACGCAGTGAAATTGGAAAGTGCTTCTCCCTCCCCAGCCCTGAGGAGGAATGTGGCCTCTATAAACACTGAGGGACTTGTTATTTTATGTCATAAGATTTGCTCATGTATTTTACTAGAACTATCAAGGCTAGAAAAACATGACAAGCAATCATTCTACACTCACTTTTATAAATTATAAATATAAGTGCTTTTCAGCTGCAGCACTGAGACTCCTGGAAGAAAGAGATTTTGAACACTGTTTCCTTCAAAATAATGGAAATGAAATGTCAGAATTGCCTGCTCCTTTGCTGTCAGACAAATGACATATGAAGTGACTCGAGAGGAGGTATGGAGATGCATAAAAACTTAGGTGAATGGGACATGATCAGATGTCAGGTTTAACATTTGTATTATCTATGTTCACAAGAATTTGAAAGCCAAAGCCTGAGTGCCACCTCCTCCTGGATATCCCTCCCAGCCAGAGGACCCTTAACCTGAGTGAGGTGGCTGTAATTTGTCTGGGAATCTGTGGTCAAAGGTGAGGAGGAAGAGCAGAGTCTGCATGGCAAAGAGCCCATTTCTCATGTCAGAAGCAGACGGTCTCTGTGCAAGGCCACGGGCCTCCAGCCCCCCAGTTCCCACAGGAGTTACCCCTGAATTCATGGTGCCAGGGCTGGGGAGACTGGGCTGCGGCTCAGGCTGGGTTTGTGGGGAAGGATCAGTCCATTGATGACATCTCCCGTGGCCTCACCTTCCCAGCCCAGCTGCAGTGGGTTTTGCCCATCTGCTGCACCCTGCAGAAGCCCCTGGTGCTGGGGAGCAGGGGAGCAGTGGCAGCCGCTCTTGGGTAACCCTGCGTGCTGCCATCCTGGGAAATGCCAGCTTATGTCACGGGCCTTTCCAGACTCTAAGCAGCAACTGAAATAGCTACAGGCAGGAAAAAGAAAATCAAGGTGTAACCCTTCTCAATGGCAGCGATATTAGTGGTTCTTCTCTTCAGGCACCTGCTGCCAGGGCGCTGCTGGAGGGGACCTCAGCCGGTTAAACGCTGGCTCTCCCATGCTGGGTCCTGCTCCCCAGCTTGGCAAGGGAGCCACACACCTCGTACTGGGCTGCATGGGTGTCACCTTCTGCTACTCCTGTCCCAGCAGAGCCAGGCCCAGAGGTCCGTCTCCTGCCTAAGAAGAGGTTCAGCCTTTCCTCACTACTTCAGTCCTTGGCCTCATTTGTCTTGGTCTGGGAGACTGTGGTAGGGATCATAGAATCATAGAATGTCTGGGCTGGAAGGGACCTCCAAAAGTCATCTAGTCCAACCTCCTTGCCACAAGGAGGGACATCTCCAACTAGACCAAGCTACTCAGAGCTTCATCCAGGCTGATCTTGAATGTCTCCAGGGATGGGGGCTCCACCACCTCTCTGGGCAACCTGTTCCAGTGGTCTATCACCCTCATACTGAAGAACTTTTTCCTAACGTCTAACCTAAATCTAAAGGGATCACTCCTTCTCATTGGAGGTGTTTGATATTCAGTGT